CCCCAAAACCCCAAAACCCCATAATGCGAAATGATTAATTGTTAAAATCGGAAAAATTCATAAAATTAACAGACATAATTATAAATTAGTAATTTTCCCCTTAAAGTTAAATGGATTCCTACAGCTTTATGGAAGACGATATGCATAATTTTGATTTAGATCTGGAACTAGATGCGATTATTTAATGGGTATAATAGTTGGGTTTCTAATTAACTTATAGTTGAGGCAATTTAAAGAGTATAAGAGATTGGTGACTAGAGCTGAATCGTTAATTAATGGAGAAGTAATTTTGAGATTTTTAAAAGAGTAAATTCTTTGAATTCCTAACATATTGATAGATAAGTTTTGCCAAACTATATTGAGTTTTACCATGATTTCGATTTTAAGCCTAAATCGGTCAAAGACACATGGAAGTAGATCATTGAGAATTTTTAAAAGCTTCGCAACAGTCTGATAAAATAAGTGAATCATTCGAAACAGGATAAGCATTTTCATGATGACAACTCAAATTAGGATTCAGAAGTTTAATCTGATAGTCAATCATTCATTGGGATTATAGATAATTTACCTTAGGACTTAGTAGCACAAAGCCTTAATAGTGATGGATAGGATCTGATTATTACTAAAAACACAGTCCACATCTACTGTTCTGTAATCCTCTACCTTTGTGTCAGATCTCAACAATCATAGACTTATATTCATCATATTACAGATCTTGACAGCCAATATTAAGAGGTAATCATGAAAATATTAGAGAGATTAGGACTTTCAGGGTCAAGGTCCCAGTCTCAAATAATGTTTCACAAGTCCTACACAAATTCAAACTTTAGTTCACCAACTAAATTTAACTTGCTTGACTAAGAGGATAATGATAATATAGGTGAACTACCATAAAATGATTCAGGTTTCAAACTCAGGATGATAAGTGATTCTAATGATACCTATTTGTACTAGTAATATCATAGCAATGGAGGAGGTTACGGCAATAGTGGACATAAGCTGTATGATAACTAATAATTCCTAGCTTAATATGAAACTTAAAGACCTTCGATTTCTAGAAATAGTCTACTTCAGACAACAGGAAGTAAACAAAAAATATTGAATTCATCCTAAAAAGAGCCTTTTGATACTATAGCTAAGATTTAAGATCTAGAGACAGAAAAGAGGCAGCTTTCCATAGATAATGATAACCTAAAAATACAAGTAGCTGAGTTGAACAGAAAGGTTGATGAATTGAATGTTAAAAGCGAGCATCTTTATCAAGAGAAGTAGAAACTCCATGATTAGCTTTTGAAGTATGAGGTGATGGAAACAGACTAAAAAGCTTTGCAAAAGGAGATGAAAAATTTAAAGTTTGAAAAAGTGCAATAAATATAAGATTTGAAGCAAAGACTCCTAGACAAGCATGAGGAATTAGAACTGACAAAAGATCTTTTGATGAAAAAGGAGGGAATTGAGAGCAAAATCGAGGATTACAAAAATAAATTAGAAATACTTAAAGATGCAGTTGATATAAAGAATTAGACATTGTTGTAGATGAAAGATCTAGAGCTACAATTGAGAGAGTCATAAAATTAGACCTTATAACTTTAAAAATTGGCCCAAAAGCTCAAAGAAGAGGTTATTAGAGAAAAAGATACTATGGTGTCTAAAGACACTAAGATAATGAGATATGAATAAGAGATAGACATGCTAAAAGAGGATAATAAGAGATATGTGAACTCAATCGATAAGAAAGATGAGCAGCTAAAATAATACAACAGATAGGTTATTAAATAATAAACAGAGATTGAGGAACTATAAGAACAGCTTAATAAAAATTTAATCAATAATGTAATTTAAGACATCTCTTGCCAGTAATAGCAGCAACAATAACCTTAAAATCCAAATTATAAGTAAGATGCATTAAATGAGAATTCTCTTGAAATTATGGTATTGGAACTAAAAGATTAATTGTTCTACGCATAGATAGAGAATGAAAACTTAAAGAAAGTAATTGAATAATAAATAAAAGACTACAGGCCAGATAAGATAGAAAAGTGTGTCTTAATCATTGATGAAACTGATGAAAACTAATAATATCTATTATTAAATGACAATTAAAAGAAATCATTTAACCAACATCATTCTTAAGATATCGAAGATTAACTGAGATAAAAAATCTCAATCCTTGAGGAAAATATATTGTAATTATAAAACGATCAGTAACCATAAAATAACTATTATTGCACAACCAAATAATATGCCATTAATGAATAATCAACCTAAGAAAGCAATAGCTTGTTATAGTATAAATTGTAAAATTATGAAAATGCAATTTTAGAATTAAAGGAATCTAACAATTCAAAAGAAGCTTTAATGAGGTCATAATCATCATAGATAATGGAAAAGATTATTGAAAATTAAAACTTAAGAAGGACAGCGGAAGAATTAAATCTAAAACTTGACTAGCTAGGAATGAAATACAAACAATTGAAAGCTGATATACTGACAAAGGATAAAACTCAATAACTGTTTTACTAAATCTAAAAGGATCAAGAAATGGAAATAAAGGTAAAGTAGTAAGAAAGTGAATCATTAAAGAATAAAATTTAAGAATTGGAAAATTTGTTTAAAGATAAAATGGCTTAGGAGCTAAAGAAAGTAATAAAGCAAAGCAGAGAAAAAGAGAGGTTGAAGTTATAACTTGAGTAAATAACAACTAATAAACAAGAAAGCGAGATAGAGAGTAAAAACGAATCTTTTAAGTACATAGAAAATATGAAATCTCTTGGAGTCCAGCTAGAAAAACTGAAGACTACTCTTTAAGGAAATACTAAAGGTAATTTAAGTCAAAGATAATGCAGCACAACTCTGATTTGCAATGAAGATTAAAAGATGATTTCAAATGAAATGCAAGTTAATACCCTCTAAAGTCGAAATGAAATTAAAAAATAGCTACCAACTATGATGAGATCAATGAAAGCTAAATTAGGAAATTTAGGATAATCGAGAAATGATAAAAATTCTTTAAATAGCTTTTCTAGAAACTATCAATCTATGAATTTATTCAAAACAAGTAATAGCAATACTCTGCAGCCTAGAAATCTTAACTTGTAAATTTAAGGCATCAGATCTTAGAAAAATCTTTTTAGTTCGTTTTTAGTCTAGGGATAGTAAAGTAATGTCATTTTAGAGGAAGATGCTTGTGATTTTGTTATAAATTAGTGATAAAAAGATTAATGAAGAATTATAGATAAGTTAGAGATATATAAATATATAGAGATATTCTAAATTAGATTTGAAGAACTTTAAAATTATTTGATTTTTTGCAAATTTAGAATATAGGGGTTTTGGGGTTTTGGGGTTTTGGGG